ATAAATATGCTGAGGTGAGTGTCATTCTCCTATAGCCTTACATCTTAAGGGTCATCAAGTTGGTAACTGTATGCTGTTGTATCAGGAAAATGGTGGCGATGGTGCTGAGCATGAGGTCCCACTACCACAATGTTTCATTGATACCATAGTACAGACACACAAATTCAGGATCAAGGTGGCCCACTTCAATTTCACATCGAAGATGACCTTGACTGTTACAAAATTAGTCTCCCCAGCAGTCCTACCTCCTAAAGACCGACCAGCTGACATGTCAGCTCTGCCTCCAGCCAGTGAGGTGGATATCTCACTGGTGACTGAAAGCAGTGGTGGCGGATCTCCCTATGCAAACAGTCTTCCTTCATCTACTGACGAGCAGCAGAAACCAAAGCGCCCCAGGCGTAATGCTTGTAGGTGTCAAAATCTGTCACGACAAAATCAATGGCTAAAAGTCTCCGCAATAATAAGAATACGTTTTATAAAACACGAGAAGTTGTTTTATAAAATTCTAAGGACTTTCCAAACAAAGGAAATCCACGCGAAACTTGGAAATTGTAATATCGGAAAAATGAACGAAGCAATCTCCGATTACACGATTGCCCGAGTTAAGCAAAAAACCGCATCCACCATAAATCGCGAGCAGGTTCAATCGAACCAGTTCAACTGTACGTCGAGCTGACCGTCCTCGATTTCCCGCATCCTTGATGTAAGGCATACGTCCTTCGATTCGATCATGCTCTGAACCATGGTCGAAACGTCTCTCATCTCGTCTCGATCCGTCTCACTGTTCAGGTTTTACGATAAAAATCATAAAAGTCTTCTTTTCTCGTAAAGTTCGGGAAGATCGTATAAAACGGCAACGATTAGACGGAACATCGTACATTGCCGAACTAGACGATTAACTCGAGAAATGTTATAAAAACGGCATCGTATCAGGAAACGATCTCGTCTAAAATCGTAAAACGGTTTTTATCGCAAAACGGCTTGGACAGCCCAAAAGCGCAATAAAAGCCCCCTTGCGAATTTAAACGAAATCCATCCCAGAGATACAATGACCGTTTGATGATTTACTCACAGAAAGAAGATAAATGTCTAGTTTGAAGATAAATGTCAAGTTTGAAGATAAATAGAAGATTTCCGTAAGGCAAATGGAAAGATCGAGACAAATGGAAGATTCCCGATAAACTTGAATCTGGGCGAAAAGGAAGGACTAAACCGCCTAAGGAGGGAGCATATAAGCAGAAGGCCAAGGAAAGAACACAAGGACGAGTTTCAGAGCTTTCACCACTAAAACTCAGCATTTAGGCAATTTTCCGTTTTTGTTATCGAGCTGCGTCTAAACTAGGGTTTTAGTCTTAGATTGCTAGAACTAGGAATCTCGCCGACAGCTCACGCATCTAAAGCTTACTCTTGTTGTACCGTTCGTACGCAAATTCGGAGTAAGACTCCTTCTTTCTCTTAATCTTGTTTTTCATACTTCAACTTTATTCTCATCGTCTTCTTCATTGCTTGTGTGCGGGTCCGCAGATAGCCGGGTCCTCTGGGAAATTAGGGTTTTCCCGAAGTTCCTAAATTTACGTAAAATCGACAAGGGTGAATTTCGGTTCCCACAATGCTTAGATCATCCTGAACTCATGTCACTCCATCAATGACTTGTACAGACTGCCCAGTCAGCTTTCGTTTCTAATAACAGTCTTTTCTCTTTCCCTTTGTTGTTTCTTTGCTACTCTTCCACAGACAGTTGGCAAATCGTTTTATTGTTATACTGGTTTGTTTTTGCAACCCACGTATTGGTTATGCAATTCTAAAACCTTCTATGTTCTTCTGCTCCTTAAAAAGAATTTTAGTTACTCAAGATGAAACGAAGTAACAATTCTTCTTCATCCTATTATTTAGCATCAATCTTCCCAAACATTAATAGAGCAAGGCAGATTTAAAACGACCACGTTTAATATACAAAACTTTAACTGATCATAGGACCTAAATGTACGAGGTAGATTACACCCTGCACAAGGCCCATAAGAAATCATGTTTGGCCCATCAGAGGATGAGTAAGCGGCTTAGCGGCGACTAACGGATCAGCTAGTGGATGATCGTTTTTAGCCGAGTAAAGCCATTCTCCGCTTGATGACTAACAACCAGGGACAAACTGCTTAACGAGCCCCGAGTTTCAGGCCGCATAGAAGGTCCATTACGAGAGGCTTTTTACCGTACACCGACCTAAGTCAAATGAGAGAAGGATCCACTATAAAAGGAGAGCAAGGGACAACAAGTAGGGGATCCGAAAATAAACTTATTAGGCAAAAGCTTAAACTAGGATTAGCCGTCGAGGTGGTTTGCCATAGCTAATCGAGCGATTTTCTTTCCCCACTGCGTCGAAGGCGACTCTATCCCCGCCGACTGACGAATGATTATAATCCTAATTATCTGAATAGCAACCTTGAATCTAACTACTTTCTTTTATTGTTTCAAACCTAAATCCAGTCTCTTAAGCAACTTACCATTGCTTACAAAACTGCAATTTTACTATTTAAAACCTATTCAACCTAGCATAATCATTTAAGTTATCTTTATTGTACTCCTTAGTTCCCTGTGGATTCGATCCCTAAGTACTACAACTGAACCTCTTATTTGAGAGAGTAATTCACTTCTTAGGGTTAAACATTTGAGTGATATCAAATTAGGCGCCGTTGCCGAGGAACTTTGATAACATTAGATTTAATATGATTAGGTCTAGGTAATTTTTCTTTTATTGTTTAATTATCTTCTGACACCAAAACTTTTTTTCTTGTCTTTTTCAGGTACATGCCCAGCAGTACTGATGTCACTCAAATGTTTTAACCCTAAGGAGTGATTTACTCTCTCAAATAAGAGGTTCAATCGTAGTACTTAGGGATCGAATCCACAAGGAACTAGAGTCACAAAAGATATAATCCTAAGTGATTAAGCTAGGTTGAAAAGGTTTTAAAACAGTAAATAAAATAAGTAGCAATGGTAAGTTGCTAAGGAAAATAGGTTTTGGGTTTTGAAAACAATGAAAGAAAGTAGTTAGATTCAAGGTTACTATTCAGAAAATCAGGATTATAAATCTATGGATGTCTTAAAGAATTGCTTGCAAATATATGAGAACTTCAACCCTTAGACAAATCTATAGCTATCGCTATCAAACTCGTCCATTGATCTGATTTTCGACTGCATCGATCGATGTTGCTATCGCAGTGTCGATCGATATTTGCTGCCGTCGATCGATGACTCTAGAGGAGTATTGATCGATATAAAGTATCAGATCGGATTGAATCTGTGTTCACCCGAGAATTCCTATCAGACCAGCTGTCGCATTAAGCCTTAATAGAGTCTGGGTTTAGCCAAATGATTTCAGGAAGATGACTATTAGATTAGTCACTCCATAATCATAACTCTAGGTAGCAAATCTAGAGTAAGCATTAGGGTTCATTTGGATAATGAATATAACAACTCAATAATCCATAGTTGGGGCTAATCCCTCATAACTGTTTGAACCCCAAATCTAACAAATGAATCTACTCAGACATAGCCAAGAGATTCATAGCAAAAGAATAAGATGAAAAGAAAATACTTTTATTGCTAAGTATAGAATAGAATACAAAACTCAAATCTTGTGTGTCTTTCTAGGGCGCATAGGCATAACTATAAATATGGAGTACAATTAGGTTAAGAACTCGTCCAGGGCAGTCTTGTAATTTGGTGAGAACTTGGGCTTCAAGTCGGCCAAGTAAATCTTGCTCATCACGCTCTGTATCGATCGATGGTACATTGCGTACATCGATCGATGGAGTATCTCGACTTCAACTTCTACGGAATCGTCATCCATCGATTACACAAGGTGTGTATCGGTCGATATGTGTCTCTCAATGTTGGATCTTCATAGTCAACTTGTAAAACTCTCCTTTAAGCTCCATAAGGTACCTAAATCATCCCTTTACGACAAAATGCTCTTGAACCTGAAAACATACCTAATAGACTCCAAAACATAGATAATTATAATAAAAACATATAGAAAATATGACCAAAAACGGGTCAAAATCATGGTATATCAACTCCCCCAGACTTAACCTTTTGCTTGTCCTCAAGCAAACTTTAAGCTAGTCTTGAAAAGAAAGTTAAAAACAGCAGGGACTCAATCAAAATCTCAACTTAAAAATCATAACCTCTTACTTTGTTGC